ATTTCAATAAAGAGTTCCCTTTGAATCCCAACAAATATAAAATACAAACATAAAATTTAGATAAAATGTTCAGTATCATCATAGATCTTCTCATGGTCTCCTTTATTTTAGATTATCATAATAAATACATGAATAAATAGTCTATGACAAAACTGTTACATGTCTATTGGTATTCTGTGTCGAGCCAAAACAAATATTTTAAAAGGTGACCTATGTCTGTTTGCATAATTTCACTCAAAATCTTTAAATTTAATACGCTGTCGGTGACTTTTTCACTAAGAAAAATATTAGTTCTGCTAATACAAGTCCAATTAGAATTTCTTGGTTGTGTAGTCATATCCTTCTATGGCAACACCAAAAAGATTCTAGATCGAAATTGAGAACCAGGCTACTACAATTTCAGATATATAGAACTAATATATAAAACACTATATTTTGAGGGGATTCTATATATAATAAAAGAAGAAGTAATATTTATAAATGATGCCAAGTGCTAAATTCTAAGAAATAGACATAACATAGTACAACTGAGCGATAACCCAACCATTCTTCTATTTTTATGTGCCGTGTCCTCGCAGAACTTAGGGAATCATGGCCCACTACATATTTCTGTCTCTTGTAGCTGTTAATGAGCTTTGTCTTTTTCTTATTTCCCCCGAAACCTGTTGTACCTTCCATTTACTCACGCTCATCAAGTATGTTACACATTGCTTTCTTCTTTCCTTCAATCTGCCCTTTGAGTATCTGATTCTCTAAGCACTCTTATCTCATTATGTCTCCCATAAATTTCAACTACTTCTTCCTGATGTATAATTTTCCTTTTTGTTTCCATTTTCTCCAAAACTTCCTTGTTGCTCACATGTTCAGTCTACGGTAACCTTAAGGATCTGATTAAACCTAAAACAATATTTATAAAATTTTCTAACAGATAGCGCTGGTAAAATTTATAATAAGCTACTGTATTGTATACAGCTTATTTGTCAAACATATAGACGCCATTTTCCTACTCGTGATTTTGTCAGTCAGTTATGTGCCATGCGTGATACACGCTTAGGCGATCATGTAGCTTTCGATGCATGACTGACGAGACAGATTTTTTCCCGCAGTATGTTGCCATTTCTTTCTTAGGTAGACTAGTTACTATTGAAGGCTATAGAACCCGGCCTGTCCTACTGTTTATCGATAGGGAAGAAGAAGAGGATTCCTACCTTTCCCAAGGGTATTAGTACGTAAATGAATGTAATGGATTCGACTGGAATTCGAATTCCGCTATCCACCGTGCCTCCACAATATTGCAATACCAATTCGACAGAAATAATGCTATTAATTGATATACGTACCGTATTAATTGATATACGTCATATTAATTGATATACGTCATTTCTATCTCGCAGAGATTTTAAGATATGACAGCATAATCGGAGAAAACTTTGAACGCTAGGCTTGCCCCTCTACCAATATTGTGAAAATCTGGATTAGCGTATAGCTTTCATTTTTTTGCAAGCAGTACGCATTAACGCCATTTACTCTTGGTATCAGTTTAAACTAATGTTTACTTTTTCCCCTAGATTATGACCATTTTCATTATAGTTTTTTTTTTTTTCTTTTTTTTCATGAAAACTTATGGTTGTGATGATCTCGAGTAACAACATCGCCTGATCAATCCTCAAATATAGACGCCATAGATGTGACTTTTAGTCCTGCTAAGAATCTACAGCCTCTGGAGAAGATGTGGCAATGTTGGGTGTCTTTTGCATTAGATGATACATAAATGCTGTATAAGGTGTACTGAAAGTTTTCTCTATATGAGTGGCGTCTTTGATGAATATTTCGGCCTGACCGACTTAGACAGACTTGACTACATTCATTGTACGTTATATCAAATTGTGTAACAAAAAAAAAATACAGGGATTTCCCTGAATTTGCTGCTATACAATTAAGTCCCTTAAGAAATTCCCTCTATTTTTTTTGATGCAGATTATGATTTTGTATGTTGCTTAAAGGTAAAATTTCGCTTTTACAATAATTACAATATGGTCCAATGATCGCCTAAGTTGTGAAACTGACATTCACTATGCAAGCCGTCCTGGGTAAGATGATAAACTACATCCGACAGCAAGGAGGTTTTGAGGAGCGTGGAACCACCTCTTAATTGCTGGTGTTCCCAGGACCACCCTGCTTCGGGGTGGTAGCACCTGTTAGGGTTTCATCTATGGGCAAATATTTAACCCCACGTCAAAAGGGGTCAAAACACTGTGAATGTGTAAAAATAAGTTTTAATACCAGCGATATATTTTTGTAAAATATTATTACCAGCAATAGATTTTTGAAGGAAAAAATATTACCAGCAATAGCTTTTTGAAAAAGACTTTGAAGAAAAAACAATTAATAGCAATACATTTTTGAAAATAAAAAATATTGCCAACAATAAAAAATCTTGTCGCCATTAAATAACCTATTGAGGTTGATATGCCGTAAAACAAACCAAACCAAACCAAGGACCAAAAGCTGCCTATTATGAGGATATGTAGGATAGATAACGATTGATTCTAGATTTGAATAATTACCAGCAATACATTTTTGAAGGAAAAACAATTAATAGCAATGCATTTTTGAAAATAAAAAATATTACCAGCAATAAAAATCTTGTCGGCATTAAATAACCCGTTGAGGTTGATATGCCGTAAAACAAAACAAACCAAATCAATGGCTATGCAGGTTGATATTCCTATGCATAATTTATAACTATATAATCTCTATCGGGACCATTCTTAATCTGCAAATGTATAAAATTTTAAACAATATAGTTATATATAATAGACAAAACCTTGAAAATTTCACGATTTTCCGATTTTCATTTTCTGATGGAATTTAATTCTTAAGTTACTGTTTATAATAAGATTCTTTTGAGTCCGATGACTATGAAATACACGTGGAATTCCCTACTTTCATTGTTAAACATTTGAGCTTATCACCTTTAACAAAATATTGCAAATAACAATTATAAATATGAATGCGGATCATTATTTAACAAGTAAGAAAAACCTAAGTAGATCTATTTTCAGAGCACTGCTTAAGAAGCCAGATGCAAACGAATGTGAACTCCATGGGACATCAGCCTAACAAAACTATCAGACCGTAAATAGGACAAAAAATGTGCGGGTTCGTTAAAGACACTGGAACAAGGAATGCAATATTTATGCTATTATTGATTATATTAGAAAGAGCAATAGAAATGCAAATGCATATGCACCTATGTTTTATAGATTATGCAAACACGTTTGACAAAGCATCTCACAAAGATCTGTTAGAACTGCTAAGTAACCTTGACATATTTGGGAAAGATTTTATAATAATCTATAACGTATACGGGCAGCAAACAGTTCGCATCTGAATAGAAAATGTCTTCAGTAAAAATACAAAAATAGAAAAAGGTGTAAGATAAGGATGTGCCTTGTCACCGGAATTATTCAACGTAAGGCGATTTAGAGAGAATTAGAAGTCCTACCAAGGTTAATTATTGGCGACCACGATCTTAACAAAATGAGATATGCAAATTACATAGTGTTAATAACAGAATGAAAACTACAAGCAATCCTACAGAAGGTCGTGAAGGAAAGCGTGAAGAAAGGACTAATTGCAAAAAGACGGAATGCATGGATGCCAGCAAAAGGAACAGCTCAGCATGCATATTACAACATTGGAGATAACAAAATCAAACAAGTACAAAGATTTAAATATCTAGGAGGTGTTTCAACAGAGGACGCAAAGTACGACACGGGAATCCGAAGGTACACTGGGATAGCGAAACATGCCTTCCAAAAGCTAAGCAAAGTATTAAGAAACAGAAGAACTTCGTTAGAAATCAAATAAAGAGTAATTAAGTATTATGTAACATCAGTCCTCCTATATGGTAGTGAATGCTAGACAATCCCCTCACAGGTTAAGAAGAGACTTGAAGTAAATAATACCTTGGCAATCACACGACACACACAAAATTACCTTTCTTCCATGGAGATGTGTGTGTGTGTGTGCTCAGATTTTTGCGAATCATATTAACCCGTTTAAAAGTATATTTAAAGAACGGGTTATTTCTCTGCTGTTAAATAAACTTGTCGCTCTGAAAGAACGATTCACCTGTTCCTTTCACTGAGAGCGTGTCGAACACAAAAAACCAAGCTTGTAGAATTTCTCTCTGTTTTTTTTTTTAATTTTTATGTTGGCATATGGTACATTGTGGGGTGCTTAGCATTTGCCGTGGATTGCTTTCCACAGATCACTTTAGAAATCCAACATCAAAATCCGATGAACGCCTCCGTCAGGGTTCATCTTCCAACAATGTTTCTACAGAACGAAAATTTTCAAACATTTTCTTACTTGCCGGTCAGTTATGTCTGGTCGATCATAAACACTGCATATTTTTATAGATGTCTCTATAATGCTTTCCCCTTGCTTGAACTTTACTTGAAAATTTAAATCTCTCCAGTAGTGTTGTTAATTAATGTATTTTTGAAACAATTTTGTATGCTGCCATTGGCGTTCAAAAGCTAAGTTAGTCTACTTTATATGCATTCTGTAATGTCACATGTGATTAGTAGTTTGGATGACACATTCGTCATTAGAATTGGTTCCAGAAAATGGAAATTACTTAGCACTCAACCGAATATTTAGTTTTTTTTTTTTTATATTTTGACCATTTACGATTTGTTCAGTAGATTTTTTAAAAAATCAGAACCTTTAGATGAAGAAATTAATTAAATATAATCAATCTCAAGTTAGGTCTTAAAAAATACAGAAGTAAAATGTATGTTCAATGGTAACTTACCGAAAAAGACCATGAAAATAGAAAATTAATAATTGGAAGAAATCCAGACCTGCTGTTTTGTTGTTGGCTTTTGTTATTTTTTTTTATTTTTTATTTTTTTTAGTGGGAGTTGTGTTTTTTGTCTGGTGCGTGCATGCGTTCGTACGTACGTGTGTGTGTGTGTGTGTGTGTATACGTCATATCTTAGATCGATATGAATAGAATGAGATAGATAGATAGATAGATAGATAGATAGATAGATAGTGATTTTCCAAGCGTAGCTTAGATGTGGCACAAGGCAGATAGATAGATAGATAGATAGATAGATAGATAGATAGATAGATAGATAGATAGATAGATAGTGATTTTCCAAGCGTAGCTTAGATGTGGCACAAGGCAGATAGATAGATAGATAGATAGATAGATAGATAGATAGATAGATAGATAGATAGTGATTTTCCAAGCGTAGCTTAGATGTGGCACAAGGCAGATAGATAGATAGATAGATAGATAGATAGATAGATAGATAGATAGATAGATAGATAGTGATTTTCCAAGCGTAGCTTAGATGTGGCACAAGGCAGATAGATAGATAGATAGATAGATAGATAGATAGATAGATAGATAGATAGATAGATAGATAGATAGTGATTTTCAAGCGTAGCTTAGATGTGGCACAAGGCAGATAGATAGATAGATAGATAGATAGATAGATAGATAGATAGATAGATATGAACAGACAAAGAAAGAGAGAAAGAAAGAAAGAAAGAATAGAATAGAATAGAACACAACAGAATACAATAGAATAGTATAAGAATTGGAAGAAATCCAGAACTGTTTGTTTGTTGTTGTTATTTGGGGGCTTTTGTTTTTTTGTGCGTGCGTGCATGAGTGTGTGTGTGTGGGCGCGTGTGCTTGTGTGTGTGTGTGTTCGTCTGTTGTTCTTATTCACTCGAAGTAGATCCGTTTCCAAAAATATTACTGTATTGCTTGCTGCCTCAGGTTAAAAAGTACTGAGAGACGTTTATCCTCCCATAGGAATTACATGTTTGCTTTTAAAATCGGCACTTGTTATTTCATGAACGTGTCAGTAGTGTAATAGTCAGTTATCGGAACGGAATGTGGAATCGGCGAGTTCAAATTCCGGTCTAGACTCGTGCTTTCGCTTTCGCACTTGTGTAACAAGGAAAAGCGTCAGTCCATCTTTTCTCCTCACGGCTATAGTTTAAATAGCAGGACAGACTGGAATCTGGAATCTTGCGTGGTAACTAGTCTAGAAAAAAGATAACAAAACGGTGGAGAATAAAACAGAAAATGACTCTACTATATTTCCTATGAAGTCGTGGAAGTTCACAGATAATAACGAAAAGTAATTCGAAGTCATGATCACCTACGCCCAGAAGGATCATGGACATTTCAGAAAGTCCATTCTAGAAGTGATTCAAATAGATAGATAGATAGATAGAGAGAGAGAGAGAGAGAGAGATATGAACAGCGTAAGATAGATAGATAGATAGACAGATAGAGAGAGAGAGATGAACAGTGTAAGATAGATAGATAGATAGATAGATAGATAGATAGATAGATAATGATCAGTCTGAAACAGATAAATAGATATGGACATAGATAGATAGATAGAGAGAGAGAGAGAGAGAGAGAGTCAGAGAGAGATGAAAAGCGTAAGATAGATAGATAGATAGATAGATAGATAGATAGATAGATAGATAGATAGATAGATATGAACAGCATTGGGTAGCTAAGATGATCAAACTGAGATAGATAGATAGATAGATAGATAGATAGATAGATAGATAGATGAATATGAATATATATATATATATATATATATATATATATATATATATATATATGGAGAGAGAGAGGGATGATCAGATGGAGATAGATAGATAGATAGATAGATAGATAGATAGATAGATAGATAGATATGAACAGCGTGAGATAGGTAGATAGATAGATAGAGAGAGAGAGATGATCAGACTGATAGATAGATAGATAGATAGATGAAGATAGATAGATAGATAGATAGATAGATAGATAGATAACGTGCATGTGATAACAGGTTACGTTCGTCGGACAGGAAAAACAGCCTATATACAGGGGTTGGGCAAAATAATTGGAACAGTTGCAAAATCTACTCCTATCTTTCAAAGACCTATTATATTAAGAACTTTAGCTAAAACTTCGTAATTGCATGTTATATCATTTGTAAATACGTTTATTTATCTAATTTACTGTCTTTGTATTATTTATTTTTAGAATTTAGTAAAATTTAAGCTAAATGCGTGACCTCTCCGGGTTCGAAAAAGAGCAAATTGTTGGAGCTCGCATGGCAGAAGCCTCGGTCACTAAGGTTGCTGAACTGTTTGGTTTTTAAAGAGCTACCATATCAAGAACACTGATGCAATTCGAGAAGCAGGGCAAGTCCTCTAGCCACCGTAGCAATTCGGGCCGGACTTGCAAACTTACTGAAAGGGACTGACGTGCATTGAAACGCAATGTGGCAAAAAATCATCGGACAAATGCAGCCAAAGTGACTGCTGAGTTGAATAACCATCTGAATAGTTCAGTTTGTACTAAAACTGTTCACCGTGAGCTCCATAAGGCTGCATATCATGGAAGAGCCGCTGTGAGAAAACCTCTTCTCTCCACTCGCAACATTCAAAAGAGGTTGAAGTGGTGCAGAGATCGCAATGCCTGGTCTGCAGACCAATGAAAAAAAGTCATATTCTCAAACAAGTCTAGTTTTTCTCTTTTCCCAACTTCAGGGTGAGTTTATGTGCGGAGGCAGCCCAAGAAGCGTACAACCCTGACTGCCTTCTTCCAACAGTGAAGCATGGAGGTGGATCAGTGACAGTTTAGGCCGCCATATCATGGAAATGTCTCAGTCCAATAGTTGCCCTGCATGGTAGAATCAACAGCAAAGATTACCTGAATATTTTGGGAGATCATGTTCATCCAATGGCCAAGACTTTATTTCCTGATGGTGACTGCATCTTCCAAGACGATAATGCGCCAATACATACCGCTCGAGTGGTTAAGAATTAGTATGAAGAGCATGAAAGTGAGCTAGAACACATGGAGTGGTCTCCCCAATCTCAAGATATCAATATTATTGAACATTTGTGATGCATTTTGGAACAAGTTAGGAGCCGCTATCCTCCACCGTCACGTTGTAAAGAGCTGGAGAAGGTTTTAATGAAAGAATGACTGAAAATTCCTCTGGATGAAGTCAGGAAGCTGTATGATTCCATTCCTAGACGCATTAAAGCAGTCTGTGAGGCTAAAGGAGGACCAACTCCATATTAAATAAATTTTCTTTGAATTTAACAAGTGTTCCAATTATTTTGTCCAACCCCTGTACATGGAACTATTCTAGACTAGGCTGTTTTATATCCCGAATGAATAAAGAGGACTGAGAAAATCCGACACACAAATGACATATTGAAGGCAAGAGATGGTGTGGGGACAGCAACGCATTACCTACCTAACGAGCTTATTTAGATAGTTGGCAGAACAACGATTAGGAGAAATAGCAAAAAGACAAAATTTAATAAACGCTACAAAGGACAAGAAATTGTTGAGTATCATGAACACCCACGTCCTAAATGTATAAACAGACCTTCTTCTACGTGCAGCACATAGAAGGAGAAGTCTGTTTATACCCATTGGGAAAGGCTCGAATATAGCCCCTAGGCAAGTATATAACCTCTCCTTTGGCACATGTAATAAGATGTATATTGCATGTACAGATGATTGTTTGGAATTCCATTGATTATGAACATTCACAGCCCTACGTTTTATTCTGATTCCTTAGTTTGCACGTTAGTAGATTTAATTTCTGGAAGTCTATTGATTTCGGTCTGCCAATACATGATTTCTATTGAATGAATTTATATCAGCTATTACTACCAGTTTGCACGCTGAAGCCATCCTGTAAGATTCGAGTTAAGAATGTTGTTGATCCTAATAATAGTAAAAGTAATTCGAAGTCATGATCACCTACGCGCAGAAGGAACATGGTCATTTCAGAAAGCCCATTCTAGAATGTAGTAAGTTCTTCACATAGATAGTTAGATAGATAGATAGATAGATAGATAGATAGATAGATAGATAGATAGATATGAATAGCATGAGATAGAGAGAGATAGAGAGAGAGAGAGAGAAAGAGAGAGATGATCACACTGAGATAGATACATATGAACAGCGTGAGATAGATAGAGAGAGAGATGATCAGACTGGGATAGATAGATAGATAGATAGATAGATAGATAGATAGATAGATAGATAGATAGATAATGAACAGATTGGGATACGTAGATATGAACAGATTGAGATAGATAGATAGATAGATAGATAGATAGATAGATAGATAGATAGATAGATAGATAGATAGATAACGTGCATATGATAACAGAAGGTTACAGCATTGTGCACGAAAAACAGACTATATACATGGGACTATTCTAGACTAGGCTGTTTTATATCCCGAATGAATAAAGAGTTAGTGAGTATCGCCTTTAGTGAGTATCGCTTAGAATAGGCAATTGTAATCCGCATGCTATAAGCTAGGCTGACCCCAATCATAACCAAGAGTTATTCTAAAATAAGCTAAACTATACACGGGTATATTCTGGGAGTCGTTTAATCTAGGTTGGTGCACTGGCAATATACTGTTCGGCCATAGCTACATATTCCGTTCTTGTCTTGTTTGTCTTTTTGTTTGTTTGTTTTTTTAATCGGTATCACCCCATGCAAGGCAATAAAGCCACTAAGACACAAAGTGTTACTGAGTGTGGAAGAATTCAGAACAGAAACATTAATAATGAACGGAAAGAGAGAAGAGTAATCAGGAGGACAGTAGATTGCGATTGACACTGCATTTAAATTTTGGCAGATTAAAGTTGGATGGAAAGCATGGAGTTCCACAAGCGAGATGTGCGAGAAAAGAAACTGTTAGCATAGAATTTACGGTTGCATCTAACCAGCTCAACTGCAATAAGTATCCAAGCTTCCAATTATAGTAACGTTTTAATGAGTAAATCAATGCTAATCCTTACATCAAGAGTTTTTTTAACCGATTTCGTCCCAAGTAAGGCATTAAATCCACTAAGACAGAAGCGGTTACTGGGTGTGGAAGAGTTAGAAACAGAAACATTGGTAAGGAGTCCGAATAAAAGAAGATTAATCAGGATGACAGTAGATAGCGATTGACGTTGCATTTAAATTTTTGTAGATTAAAATTGATTGGAAAGCATGGAGCCGGGATGGAGTTCCACAAGTGAGAAGTACGAGAAAAGAAACTCTTAGCATAGAATTTACGGTTGCGTCTAGCCAACTGTAAGTTCATGAGATCTTGACGCCAGTCTAGTGCTGCGCTTAAATCCATAAAGTCTGGCTACGATAGCGAAAAGCTCATCCGAACAATTACCATGAAAGTATTTATAGAAAAGAAATAAGATTTATAAATATCTCCTCCAATACTATATGTAACAATCTATCGGACAGCGAGATCACTTCGACGTGGTGTAATGATTAGCAAGTTTGCCTTGCTAAAACAATTACTGAGTAATATATTCTTCACAAAGTGTACCATACTTTAGCTTTGTGCCACATCTGAACTACGGTTAGTATATAATATACAGGCTGTCCTAAATATTTTGACATCATTTTAAGAGCAATTATTTTGAAAACTACAAAGTCTAGTTCAATGAAATTGAACAGTGTAGGTGTTGACCGTTTATTATGAGACCGATTTCATAATTGTTTAATATGTGCATCGCCTGTGACACGGTACACGTCACGACGGTAGTTAAGCTCTTGCCAAACACGCTGATGATGGTCTACCAGATGCTTTAACTCTGGATAAGCAGCCTTCCTCTAAATTTTTAGTACCAAGTCCAAATTTATTTGCCAGTTGAAGTTTTTCCAAATTTTACATTGACGGCACGCTACACTGTCTTGGGTGACTATGTGCTGCGAGCATATTCCAAGACGCAAAATGAATTCTCTTTGGAAATAAACGGCATGGTCCAACCTGAAAAAAGAACAAAAATAAAACATTAAATATAAAATCTTCATCTGTTTCTATACATTCTGTGAAAATTTGATGTTATTTCAACAAGAATTACTAAAATTATTGGCCTGCGAAATGATGACAATTTTTCGGGGACACTCTGCATATCGGAGAGCAATGTTTAGCAGGTAACATTCAATGAGATCAGTCCTTACTTAAAGTCTCAATAGTGTGTCGTTTTACCAAACTAAGTTACACTTTTTAAATATCTATATTCTCTTGCATTGAAATTTTCTAATATATGTACGTTGATCCCTAAATATACTAGTGTAACAGTAAAAAAAAAAAAGCGGGAAATTTATTATCTTTCAGGAATAATTAACCTTGAATAACCTTGAATAAATTTATTGAATATTCATGACCTTGAATAATCATTCGACTCTCGCGTAATTACTTAACTCTGATTGATTCTTTTATGATTGATTAATTGTTACTGGATCGTGTCACTCGTCATTTAAAAGTTATTTGCAGACGACTCACTGATTTTGAGCGTCAAGTTATCGTATTTTTTTTCAGTTAGAACATCAGATGTGGGGACTGACGAAATGTGCAGAAATTCTTCCTGAATTTTTCAGTCTGCATCAGTCGTCACCAGTTTACAACGGTTTGTCTCACGTCTTTCAGTATTTACCGCCTTTTTTACTGGGCACCCTGTAGTACTTAGATTGCGTTACAGCCATTAGATATACAGATAAGGTATACGCATGCGTAGTTATTTCATGGACGGTACACAAACCTACAGTCAACCGAATTTTCCCGGCTCCTCCAAGACATCGATATATAGATTTTCATTCGGGAGGTCGGTATATGATCTAAAACATTGCCTTACCAAACAATATGACCGTCTATCTCGAGATACCATTTCCAATTGATTTTATGATTTCAAGAATTCAAGAATACCTAAAAATGCATTTTTTACTAAAAAAAATATCGCAAGAGTAGAAATATACATGAAAAGACGCGAAATGTTTCCTACGTCTTATTGATGAATAAATTACAGGTGTATAGTTCACTGAATCACTCAGACTAACACACTCAACTGAAGTTTCTTATAAGACTATTTTTTCCTCCTTTACTGTTTATTGGGTTCTTTGGGTGTTTATTTTATATTATTTGATCAAATAATGCACCAATCACCTTGGACTGTCTTAGTATGGTGACTTAATTCAATCAAAGATTGATTTGTTCGTCTAGGCGTCCTAAGAAATATCTGAATGACTGAATTAAATAACTGAAGGAAAAGAAAACGTTTCCACTGAGGGAAAAGTAGAAAATGTGTTTATTGATACCGCTTGGGTTAGGAGAAAATGTGTCGACTACTTTAAAAGTGGAAAGATCGTAAAGTGCACATCTCTTTTCAGAACAAAATTCTTAAAATCCAGACTTGCTTGAATTTGCATAACGACAAACGATACGTTTATTTTTACGAACCATCCTCTCTAGGGTAAGAGGCAGTAATTTTGATAAACTTAAACATTAAAAACAAAAGGAAGGTAACAGATCAAAATACAAACACCACGGTATTAAATCTCGTGTAGAAGATAAAGTTGGTGCGTAATTACAATAATTTCGTTCCGGATTTGGCATTTAGGCTTCAGTCACTTTCGCACCGGTGCAATATTACCGGTGCTTTTTTTCTCTGTCCATAGCAATTGTTCTAATGAGCTTCCCTCTTACCTCTTTTGTAAATATTTATTGGGGTTTCATTTTTAAATATTGTTAATTTTATTCCCCCTCCCAGACAATTTGTATACATGGGAACTTGTTAATAACCTATAACAAAACTCCTTGTAGCACCAAAGATGAACTGAAGGCAAGGATTATGGCAGCATTCACAACAAGGAGACCGTTCAGAAGAGGTGCAGAAGATTCCGAAGAGGTCTGGAAGCCGTGGTTGAAACCAAAGGTGATTTTATCGAATAAACTTAATCTTTAGTATTTCAAGATATTTTTCTGTAATTTTGGTAAATATATCCGTTAAAATGAGGTGTCAGTGTTATTTTGATTTTTGCGTAATTTAGACGACAATTTATCCATCGTACCCTGGACATGCAATGATAATGGAAATATTAACCATTTCCTTATAAGGATATTTTTAGCATTCACCTGCCAAGGAGCCGGTGCTACTTTCGTTTGTCATTCATAAATTCTATTAAAATAAAGCCACTGTTATTGCTCTTTCCAGTATTAATGGGGATTTCCTTCCTTACCTTTTTATTTGAAGTAGTGTGGAACGTTAACATCTTGATTATGTCATTATTTTTTCTTCGAGTAACGTGTGATATTCATTTTTTTGTTGCTTTCCTCAAGTGATGTGATTTCTGTACAGTATTTTGTTTGTGATTCTGTAGCGCCAATCTGCGAAGTTTGCAAAAGGATGGTACTCGCTAACATTTACAGGCGTTGTTTGTCCGAATCCACCTTTAACCGTCGAGCTGACAAAGCGGTTGTATACTGCTGACAGTATGAAATAATACTTTAGCAGATATTATTTTTAAATGAAGTATATCTCATCTCCGACTTCCGGGGGTTGACTTTCGGAGCTAGATGTAAGACATAATGAGGAAGTCGATCTTGATTGGTTATCGTGGGAATGATAGATAAAGTTTTTGCGTGAGTTGTTTCTTACCCGTCAAGGGATGTAGACATGTTCTTTTTCGTGTCCGAAACGGCTCCCAAGTGAAGAGTGCAACACCTCACTGGCCAGTTAGATAATGTAGATACTGACATGATTAATAAAAATAGTTAAGTTAAAATTTTCTGTGTTAAAGATTTCATTGGCGAACCGAAACGATTAGCGATCGCCGGCCAAGAGAAAAAGCCGAGCTGATATCATTCACCGTTGTCAATGTTCAACAACAGCTTCTGTACGAGTCTGGTGTCCGGCATGACATCCATATTAATGTCACATTTATTTATGAACATTACATAAATTTTTAGGGTAATGTTTTTGTTTTGTAACATGTTGTGGTTTTGTGGGAGACTATTCCTAGCATAGCCTATTCTATGTTTACTTTCGTTATTTACTATATTAAATTTCTTATAAATGATCTATACTCCGAGGTATTTGAAGTGTTTAATGTCTACTGATTCCGCATCCTGAATTTTTATGATGGATTCAGCGTAGTTGCCATCACTGCTTTCATTCCATTTCCAGATCATAGTTGTTCGAGTCCATACCGATCCTTCAATATCCGTCTATATTTCTGAGGTGAGGTATTTTAATTATTTACATTATTTACATTCTTCGGGCTGTTGTCCTCATTTTTATTGCCATATTCATGACGTTTCCGAAGACCCCGGTGGATGAAATAAAGCGTTCAGTTCGAAATTCTAATCACCGGAGTGTACAACGGCAGAAACTTCGTGAA